GGATTACCTGAGGTCGGGAGTTCGAAACCAGCCTGGCCAGAGGGCGAAACCCTGTCTCTACTAAAAAATACAAAAATTAGCTGGGCGTGGTGGCAGGTGTCTGTATCCTAGCTACTCAGGAGGCTGAGGCAGGAGAATTGCTTGAACCCAGGAGGTGGAGATTGTAGTAGCTGAGATCTTGTCACTGCACTCCAGCCTGGGTGACAGAGTAAGACTCCGTCAAAAAAAAAAAAAAAAAAAGATGACACCTGTAGGGTCCAGCCCTACAGGGTCCTTTGAGCTCCTCTCTGCTGGTGTGGAGATAAGAAATTGTAGAAATGAAAGACACAAGACACAGAGTTAGAGAAAAGAGTTTGGACCCATTGGTCCACTGCCAACCAAAGCTTGGAGTTTGGCAGTCGCCCGGAATGCCAGGACACTATGACTTTTATTGAGTTGCAAATCTGGGGGCAGGGTAGTTAGGGTGTGGCCTTGGTGGTCTGCAGTTGGGGGCAGGGTAGATAGTGTGTGGCAGTGATACGGTCAAGTACATCACCTGTTATACAGGTAGGGCTCAGGAATTTCTAGTAGCCGAGATGAGGTAAGGAGCATAATGTGTCAGCACTTTTCCATACTTGTTAAGAAAGAACAAAGACATTAAGATTTATATTACTTTTACTGATTATCTCTTCTAAAAAAAAAGGAAATAGGTACAGAAGGGGAACATCAAAGTAGACATGGGATGTGACCACTGAAGCACAGCACCACACAGATGCATGGCAGAGGGCTTAAAGCGGCTTGCCTTAGGGTCATTTCTTTCACAACGTCGCCCCAGGTTCACACTTCCAACCTGAGAGGCATGAGTAAAAGAATTCAAATCACCTATGAATAACTAATAACTACTACAATTATATTTTTAGTTACTTTCTTCTTCATTATTTAGATGGAAATAGGCTGAGGCTTGTGGCTTCTGCCTCGGCGTTTACCGTTTCCGGGATCTCCTCCCTACAGACACCTTCGTAGGGTCAAGGTGGAAGGATAGCATGTGTAAACAGTGCCTGGCACATTGCAGGTCCTCACATTGAGGGAGTCCTGTTTCATCCCTCTGTCCTTGAGGGCCTGTCATTTTTATTTTATTTATATTTATTTATTTATTTTTGAGAGGTAATCTCTGTCACCCAGGCTGGAATGCAGGGTGCAATTTCGGCTAACTGCAACCTCTGCCTCCCGGGTTCAGGCAATTCCCCTGCCTCAGCCTCCCAAGTAGCTGGGACTACAGGCATGCACTAAGACGCCTGGCTAATTTTTATTTTATTTTTTTATTTTTAGTAGAGAAGGGATTTCACCATGTTGGCCACCCTGATCTCGAGCTCCTGACCTTAGGTGATCCACCTACCTCAGCCTCCCAAAGTGCTGGGATTACAGGCGTAAGCCACTGCACCTGGCCTGGGGGCCTGCTATTTTAAGCACAGAGCAGGCACGCAGTGGAGGTCTATGATTTGATATCGAGATTTACCTGGTCCTCAGCAACGTTCTTGAGAACAAAACTACTCATCCCCTCAGGCTTTTGGGACCACTTCTATTTCCACGCGTTGGCGGTGGACCCCGGGATCGCTGGCATTTGCAATCCACGAGTCTCCCCTGTGCGCAGCAGGAGGCAGGTGCATGGGTGTGGGCAGGGCCCCGAGGCATTCATTCCTCGTGGCTCCCTCCCCGGAGCTCCGGGTTGTGTGCGTACATAATTCAATCCCCGTGGGACTGGAGTCTGGCCTCACCTGCGGCTTGGCGGATTGGCTGTCACAGCTCTCCCCCGCCCTCCATACCCCCCGCGTCCCAGGTGGCTCAGGCCCCCGGGTGATTTCTGTTTACCAAGAGAGCTTGTCCAAGTTGGGCTCCATCTCTGCCCTAGCTCCCCTTTGGGGCCCCCGCCCTCCTGGGAAGTGGAGAGAAAGCCGGGCCCAGCCATTCCTCGCCCTTCCCCTCCCTGCACCACCCCCCGGAGAGGTCGGGTAAGGGGGACGAGTGTGTGTGGGACTGGGAGCCCTAGGCCTGGGGGATCTGGCTGTCCTCATCCCGGTGCGTCGCGCGGACCCGGGAGTTCCAGCCGGCGGACTGGCTCCGACTCCCTCCGCCCCGCGCCGTCGCTCTCGGGGTGACGGGCCCACCCCGGAGGAGCAGCCAGAGGCTGGATCTCAGGGATGCCAGCTCCCCAGCGAAAGCACAGGCGTGGAGGCTTCTCTCACAGGTGTTTCCACACCCCCGCAGACGGCGATGACCCCCCAGCCCGCCGGACCCCCGGACGGGGGCTGGGGCTGGGTGGTGGTGGCCGCAGCCTTCGCGGTGAACGGGCTGTCCTACGGGCTGCTGCGCTCGCTGGGCCTGGCCTTCCCTGACCTTGCCGAACACTTTGACCGAAGTGCCCAGGACACTGCGTGGATCAGCGCCCTGGCCCTGGCGGTGCAGCAGGCAGCCAGTGAGGGGGGCCCTGAGGCGGGAGACGGGAACGGGGTGGAGAGGCTGCGAGTGGAGGGATAGGAGACCCACCTGATTATCCAACAACCTGAGAAAGGGCTACCGGCTCCAGAAAAGAGTGCACCTTTAGGTCCAGGAGAGGAATCATTAGTTCGAGGGAGGCAAACAGCCAATGAGAAGTGTTAGAGTTTGGGGGCCCAGGGGCGTGTCTTCCATTGATCCCGCCCCCTTCCAGGCCCCGTGGGCAGCGCCCTGAGCACGCGCTGGGGGGCCCGCCGGGTGGTGATGGTTGGCGGTGTCCTCGCCTCGCTGGGCTTTGTCTTCTCGGCTTTCGCCCGCAGTCTGCTGCACCTCTACCTCGGCTTTGGCCTCGTCGCTGGTGAGGGAAGTGGGGTACCCGCGTCATTCGGGGTGAAGGTGGGGACCGGAGCTTGTTGGGACCTGGGGTAGTGAACGAGGTGGGGTGCCTGGTGTGGAGGGCGGGGCTGGGAATGCTGGGGCGGGTATCCCCCGGGCCAGCCTCATCCCCTCCCATTCATTCGCAGGCTCTGGCTGGGCCCTGGCGTTCGCCCCTGCTCTGGGCACCCTCTCCCGATACTTCTCCCGCCGTCGAGTCTTGGCGGTGGGGCTGGCACTCACCGGCAACGGGGCCTCTTCGCTGCTCCTGGCGCCCGCCTTGCAGCTTCTCCTCGATACTTTCGGCTGGCGGGGCGCTCTGCTCCTCCTCGGCGCGATCACCCTCCACCTCACCCCCTGTGGTGCCCTGCTGCTACCCCTGGCCCTTCCTGGAGACCCCCCAGCCCCACCGCGTAGCCCCCTAGCTGCCTTTGGCCTGGGTCTCTTCACACGCCGGGCCTTCTCAATCTTTGCTCTAGGCACAGTCCTGATTGGGGGCGGGTACTACGTTCCTTACGCTCACTTGGCCCCCCACGCTTTAGATCGGGGCCTAGGGGGATACGGAGCAGCGCTGGTGGTGACCGTGGCTGCGGTGGGGGATGCGGGTGCCCGGCTAGCCTGCGGCTGGCTGGCAGACCAAGGCTGGGTGCCTCTCCCGCGGCTGCTGGCCGTGTCCGGGGCTCTGACAGGGCTGGGGCTGTGGGCGGTGGGACTGGTGCCTGTGGTGGGGGGAGAAGAGGGCTGGGGGGGTCCCCTGCTGGTCGCAGCTGTGGCCTATGGGCTGAGCGCTGGGAGTTATGCCCCGCTGGTTTTCGGTGTCCTCCCTGGGCTGGTGGGCATCGAAGGTATGGTGCAGGCCACCGGGCTGGTGATGATGCTGATGAGCCTCGGGGGGCTCCTGGGCCCTCCCCTGTCAGGTAAGGACCTGAGCCCGTAGATCCACTTACAACTATCCTCCGTCCCTGGGCTTCAAGGCTTCTGAATTCCTTTACTCATCCTCCTAGGCTTCCTAAGGGATGAGACAGGAGACTTCACCACCTCTTTCCTGGTGAGTGGCTCTTTGATCCTCTTCGGCAGCTTCATCTACACAGGGTTGCCCAGGACGCTGCCTTCCTGTGGTCCAGCCTCCCCTCCAGCCAGGCCTCCCCCAGAGAGTGGGGAGCTGCTTCCCACTCCCCAGGTTGTCTTACTTTCCCCGGGAGGCCCTCACCCCACTCTGGATACCACTTGTTGATTATTTTATTGTTTGAGCCCCTCTCCCAATAAAGAATTTTTATCCGGTTTTCCTGAAACCTCCAACTGTTCACCAACCTAGGACCCTGAAAACATTCTACTTAAAACAGCCAGAAAGGCTGGTTCAAAGGAAAAGGCTCCCAGAAGGCCCTGGGGATGAAGAAGGGTTACTGTCTGTCCAGCCAACCCCTTTTTCTTTGCCCAAGTCCTCGCTGTAATAGGGAAGCTTTGAGAAGTTGTCTGCCAGCCAGTTTCAGTTTGTTCCTGGGGCTGGGGGTAGGTTGCTCGTGGGTGCTATCTGCCTCATCTTCATGTTTCTTACTCTACTACCCAGACCTCCCAGACTGACTCTCCCCTGCATTTCAATCTCCTTCCTCTTCTTGCTCTGTCACCCAGGCTGGAGTAAAGTGGCGCGATCTCGGCTCACTGCATCCTCTGCCTCCGGGGTCCAGCGATTCTCCTGCCTCAGCCTCCTGGGTAGCTGAGATTATAGGCGTGTGCCACCACACCTGGCTAATTTTTGTATTTTCAGTAGAGAAACGGTTTCTCCATGTTGGCCACGTTGGTCTCGAACTCCTGGCCTCAGGTGATCTGCCTGTCTCTGCCTCCCAAAGTGCTGGGATTATAAGCGTGAGCCATCAAGCCCAGCCTCAATCTCCTTCTATGGGCCTGAGGGAAGTACAAGAATCCTAGGCCCAGACTTCAGCTTTATCTGCACTTTCCAAAGCTATCTGCACATCTATACCCTGTGTCCTCAGCATTTTCTCAATTTCTTTTCTAAGCCACAAGGATAATAGGGAAGAGAGAGGTATGCAGTGTGCAGGACAGCGGAGTCCAGGGGTTAAAATGCCTTGGGTCATCAGAGCTCCTGGGTACGCTCCCCCACTCCCAGGCATGACTCCATTCAGCCAGCCCAAGCATATGGGCCCCAGCTCATTTTGAGTTGTGATTATTATCTAATTTTCCTATTTGATTTTATCTCAAAGGGACATTCTTGTTTCCCAAACATGAGTGTTCCGAGAAGAAACTTAGGAGGCAACACTAGAGTTGGCATACAAAACATAAGTCTCTTGGCCTTTGATTTTCACAGTTGATTCACAGCCCAGTGAAGCAGGGACTCCTGGATGTTTAAAAACTTCTGGGTCCTTTAGAAAAGGTTAGGAGAGTAAAAGAGGAGAAATAAGAGTCCTCAAGAAAATACAAGAAAGGGTTGGCACACACTTTGCAGGAGCCCCAGGCCTGCTCTAGGGGGGAGGCAGATCAAGGATCTTAAGGCACTGTGGTTGTGTGGAGGCCAAGACTTGGCAACAGAAGACCTGGAGCTGTCACACTCTGACTTTCTGGGCCTGACTCCGTGAAGTTCAGTCCTCTTCCAGCCCTTCCTTGGGCAGGGGAACTTTAGTATCCAGTGCTTCTGTTACAAGGTCCTGGGGCCTGGAAGTAGCAGCTGAGAAGCAGAAGTGGGGCAGGGTGATAAGAACTCCACTCCCTGAAAGAAGGAAGGCTCCAGCCACCACAAAAGAAGCCGTGTAGTTGCCTGTCACATCCCGGAGATAGCCTAGGTCCAAGAGAGAAAAACAGATACACATGGGTGATCTGTTCGCTGGGGCTGATATCAAGCTCAAACATTTTTGGGTGGAGGGAAGACTTATCATCTCAGAGGAGTTGGAACTCCCATGGAATAGTTGGATAAACTTGAGAACTCTGGTTTCCCAAAAGGGCCTCAAAAGTTAATTACCTCCCTGCCTTCAGAAAGGACCTCCAAACCAGCCTGCAGGTATCTGGAGATCCAGATGGAATCAGGCATACTTGTGGCTTTCTTTCTGCCAACTGTAGCCTTTCTAAACTTTCAGTTAATAGCTAAGAGGAGATAAGGGTCTGAAAGTTCTGGCACTCTGAGCCAGCAGAACTTTGACCAGGTGCCTCAGACACCTGGTTTAGGGCCTAGTGGGCCCAAGGTCAGGGTAGACACTGGAATGCTACATCTATGTCTGGCCAGGTTCTGCCAGGTCTTCTGAAAACCCAAGGTGTAAGAGCCCTGCCAAGGGTACACTTAGTTTCTCTTTGTCTTTGCACTCAGACTTTCTCGGCCCCATGTTCTTTGCCCCTTGGACCTATTTCAGGGATGCTATGGTTGGCCACGCAGGCTGTGTACCGTACTGCACCAGAGTACAATATTTACGTACACTGTAATGAGAATAGTAGCCTCCCCAGCTGGGTGCGGTGGCTCATGCCTGTAATCCCAACTAATCCTAGCACTTTGGGAGGCTGAGGTGGATAGATCACCTGAGGCCAGGAGTTTGAGACCAGCCAGGCCAACATGGCGAAACCCTGTCTCTACTAAAAATACAAAAACTAGCTGGGTGCGGTGGTGCAAGCCTGTAATCCCAGCTACTCAGGAGGCTGAGGCAGGAGAATCGCTTGAACCAAGGAGGTGGAGGTTGCAGTGAGTTAAGATCACGGCCCTGCACTCCAGCCTGGGCAACAGAGCAAGACTCCATTGCAAAAAAAAAAAAAAAAAAAAAAACAACCAAAAAAATAGGCTCCCCCAGCTGTGCAACATGCAGCCTTGATCCCCTAGGAACCCCATTCCACTTACCCGATAGAGGAGCTCCCAGCAGCCCCCCGATGCTCTCTATCATCTGCAACAGCCCCAGGCCACAGTAAATCCTTCTAGTCCCTACTAGTTCAGGCAGCACGGAGAAGGCCAGTGGGGCCAGCGCCCCTGATGTGAAGCCGTAGGCCACAGCCAGGGCCACCAGGGCTGTGGGAGCCCGAGCTATAGGGAACAGGGCTAGTAACACCCCAGTCAGGGTGGTCCAGAGCATCAGGAGTCGTGTCACGGGCCCTGGGACTGCGTCTCCTAGCCATCCAGAGGCCACACGCCCCACGAGGTCAGAAATAGCAGCAACTGAGAGTAGGAAGGCAGCAGGCAGTGGGTCCCAATCCAGGTCCTGGAGATGGGCCACCAAGTGGAGGTAGGGAATGAAGTAGCCAGTGTTGATCAGGGTGAGGGCAACAGTGTAACGGAGGAAGGGGCCATGATGGAGGAGGGAGGTGAGTTGGGCCCTGGGACCACCCATAGCAGGGTCCTCAGCCAGGGAGGGTGGCCGGAGGAGAGCACCACAGGCCACCAGGTGGAGGGAGATGGCAGACACCAGCAGTAGGGACCCCCGCCAGGCATAGCGGCTGAGCAGCCACTGGAAAAGGGGGGCAAATGCGAAGGAGGAGAGGCCCACGCCTGTCAGTGCCAGCCCGGTGGCCAGGGATCGACGGCGAGAGAAGTAAGAGGACAGGCAGGCCAGGGTTGGAGCGAAGGTCAAGGCCCAGCCAGATCCTGTCAAAAAGGAAGAAGTGGGGTTAGGGACTTTTTTTTTTTTTTCTAAATTTTTTGTGAGATGGAGTCTCACTCTGCTGCCCAGGCTGGAGTGCAGTGGCACGATCTTGGCTCACTGCAACCTCTGCCTCCTGGGTTCAAGGAGTTCTCCTGTCTCAGCCTTCCAAGCAGATGGGATTACAGGCACATGCCACCACACCCAGCTAATTTTTTGTATTTTTTTAGTGGAGACGGGGTTTCACCATATCGGCCAGGCTGCTCTCAAACTCGTGATCTCATGATCCACTCGCCTCGGCCTCCCAAAGTGCTCACCGGCATGAGCCACTGTTCCGGTCGGGGTTAGGGACTCTTAGGAAGCTCAGGTCACGCAGTAATCCCCACATTGCCCAGCAGCAGAATGTAGTACTTAACTTGGCATCCCACAGACCTGAGATACAGTCTTGGTTTGGACACTTTCTAGCTGTGTAACCTTGTATTTTACTTGACACCCCCAGCCTCAACCTTCACAACTGCAAAATGTAATAATACGCTTTTTGGGATTGTGAGGATTAGAGACAGAGTCTGTAAGGTAACTAGCACCAAACTTTGGAGTTAGACCTGGGCTCTACCATTTCTGGCGGTGTAACCTTCATTTGCCAAGTTGTATAAGCTTTAAAGCGTTTCCTCAGCTGTAAATAGAATAACGATGTCGATTTCACAGTCACAGTACCTAGCGCCATTTTATAGTAATTCTTCCGTTTACACTCCAGTCCAACTAGCCCTGGGCTTGTAAATTGGTTTCATTTTTTTTCTTTTTCTTTTTTTGAGATGGAGTCTCGCTCTGCTGCCCAGACTGGAGTGCAGTGGTGCAATCCCAGCTCACTGCAACCTCCACCTCCCGGGTTCAAGGGATTCTTCTTTCTAAGTTTCCCCAGTAGCTGAGATTACAGGCATGTGCCACCACGCTCAGCTTTTTGTATTTTTAGTAGAGACAGGGTTTCACCATGTTGGCCAAGCTGGTCTGGAACTCCTGACCTTAAGGGACCCGCCTGCCTCAGCCTCCCAAAGTGCTGGGATTACAGGCGTGAGCCACCACGCTTGGCCGGTTTTCGTCATCTTTGAATTTCCTAATTCCTCACCATGTTTGTCGGTTTAGCAACCGGCCAGATTTCATCATCTTTGAATTTCCTAGTTCCTCACCACGTTTGTAGGTTTAGTCATTCCTTTTAAGATTTGCCTTCTGGGCACAGGTGCTAGCTAAACTTTCCCTCAGCTTCTCCCTGAACCTTTTGGAAGAAGCAGGAAGGAGGTGACCAACCAACCATCTAAGCATTTGACTTTTCTGCCCTTGTGCAGGCTCTCACCTGACAGCAACCCAATACTCAGGTATAGGTGGGTCAAGGAGGTAGCAAAAGAGGCGAGCAGCATCCCCAGCGCAGCCAAGACGCCTCCAGTCATCACCACCGGTCTGGGCCCAAACTTCGTGCTCAGGGCACTGCCTACCGGGCCTGAGGAAGTGGAAGGGGCGCTGCGAGAAGATCTCGGGCGTCTCCCCGCTTGCATCTCCCACCCCTCGCCTTCCCCTTTCCGGTCACCGCATTCCCTCTCCCTTCCGAGGGTCGAAGTCCGCCAGATCCAGGCACAGCACTCACTCCCAAATTGCTGCACCGCGATTCCTATGGAGGCGATCCAGGAGACGCGCGATGCTTGCTCCTCAAACGCCGCCACAAACTCCACGAAGAAGACCCCAAAGGAGCGGAGCACGCCGAACACCAGCGCCGACTGGAAAAATGCCGAGAGCACCACCATCCAGCCCCAGCCCCCGTCGGGGGGCTCCGCCTCACGCACCATCTGGGCGGTAACAGGGCTGCTTGCTACCCAGAGCCTCTGCGGGAGCCGGGTTCTGGACGCCGCACCTCTGCACACCCACCCACGCAGCCAGGTGGCTCGGGGCCGAGAGGGTGTGGAAAGGCGGGTAGAGAGGAAGGACCCGACGAGGCGGCGAGAGGCCCATGCACCTTTTCCCAAATGGGGGCGATGTACGACTGAAGACCAGGCCCGCGCTGGATAGGCCGTAGGCTCCCGGGGGCGTGGTTCCTCAGCCTCGGAGCTGAGCTAGTCCAGGCTGGGGCCGGATCGATCCCGGCTCAATGTTTGGCTGGGAGCCAGAGGGCAGAACTGCATTTGGGCCACACCCCTGGGGCGCGCCGGTCTCCATGTGGAAGATCTATTTTATCTCTGGGGTGTCGGCGCCGGGCCACACAGGCCAACATCCAGGTCCAGAGCTAGCCAATCAGGACGCGGGCTCCCGGGCAGGGCGGGATTTAGGCTTTGTTGGGACCCGCGCAGTGAAAGGGCGCATGCGTAAGAAGGGGAGTTAGGAGGCAGACTAGATTGGGCCCCACGTGACGCGGGGACTGCCAGGAAGCTCCCGGGGTGCTTCCGTCTCCTCTTCCCCTAGCGAGCCAACTAATCCTCATTTCAGCACTCAGACCACACGGAAGGGTTAGTGGTGGGTAAACCGCTTCTGGAGAGGAACGCACTGTCTTGCTTTAATGAGGTGTTCCTGAATTGCAAGGCCCTGTTGGGGGTAGGGGAGGGGTTATGAGATGAGACTCAAACGGAGTATCTGTCCGAGCGCCTGAAGCTACTAACGCGCAGCCCTGTCCAGGCGGATCTAGAGGCCTGGGTCCCTGAGAAGTTCAAAGGCTAAGGGAAGAGAGAAGGGGAATCAGTTGGACTCCCAGCGTTCATTTCTGTAGTGGGAAGTCGTTCCTGTCCTTCTGTTCCCACTAACAGGAAACCTACAGGTCACAGAGACCAAAAATAACTGAGGAGAGGAAGGGCGGCTGTAAGCTCACACAGGGTCCTGCCGACACCACCTACTTCTTCCTCACTGGCGCTGGAACTTTTTCCTCTGCCCTCTAGTAACAGTCACTTCCTAACCACCTTTTTTGATCTCATGGTGGGATAGACTAAAGAGACAAACTATGACCCTGGCCACTGGAGCAGTCAGCTCTCTCCTACCCAACTGGTCCTCAGGCCCCTGGCCAACATCGCCTCCCCCGCCCCGCAGTCCTTCCCATTCTCCATAACACCAATGACTTGGATTTCCTCTTCCTTCATTATAAGCCAAGCTTCCTAGGCACGTGCCTGTAGTCTTCCAGGTACTCAGGAGGCTGAGGCAGGAAAATCACTTGAACCCGGGAGGCAGAGGTTGCAGTGAGCCGAGATTGTGCCACTGCACTCCAGCCTGGGTGACAGACAGCGCTAGATTCCGTCTCAAAAAAAAAAAAAGAAAAGAAAGAAATATGGAAGTAAAAGCCATTTTGATGAGGTTTCAAATGGGACTGAAGAGCAAGGTATTGAAAACTAGAGTAAAGGCCATCCTTGTTATGAACTGGCAAAGATCTTGGCTGAACTGTGTCCATGCCCGAGGGCTTTATGGAAGGCTGAACTTGGGAGTGATGAACTAGGGTATCTGGCAGGCAGAAGAAATTTCTAACCAGCCAAACGCTGAGGCTGTTGTGTGGTTTCTTCTAACTGCTTATAGTGATCTCATAGAAGAGAAACAGAGTGGAAAAATTTGGAAAATTCTTGGCCTGGCCACGTGGTAGAGACTGAAAGAGCATTTTCAGGAGATGAATCCAAGGGTGTGGCTAAGCCACTGCTTGTCAAAGAAAAAGATTAACATGGCTGAAAGGGAGCCAGGTGCTATTCCTCAAGAAAATGAAGAAAGTCCCTGAAGTCATTTCAGAGATATTTGAGGCTGGCCCTCCCATCACAGGCCCAGAGGCCTTGGAGGACAGAGGGTTTCAGGAGACAGACCCTCCATGGGCTCCACCGCCCAGGGCTACCTCAGGACTCTGCACCCCATGCCCCGGTGTAACACTCTGTGGCCCACCTAGCCTGGTGGGGGCTTAAGTGGCCCCAGGTGTTGCTTGTATTGAAGCTCCAGAAGGTGCAAATCATAGACCTTGGCTGCATCCTTGTGGTGCTAATTCTGCAGTCTTGCAGAATGTAAGAGCTGTGAAGGCTTGGCAGCCTCCACACAGATTTCAAAGGATGTTGTTCAAAGCCTAGGGGGCCAGGCAGAGACTTGTCACAGGGGCAGAGCCGCTGGAGAGTGCCCCCACCAGAGCAATGACCAACAGAAATGTGATAGTGAAGTTGCCTCAGAGAGTCCCTGCCAGGACAATGCCTATTAGAATTGTGGAAGTGAGGTCACTGCAGAGTCCTCACTGGGGTAATCCCTGGTGGAGCCATCGGACCAAGGCCAGTGCACGGAGTCCTCAGTAGGGCAATGCCCAGTGGAGCTGTGGGAGCAGGACCACCACCAGGCCCCCAGAACTTCGGAGTCACAGGCAGTAGGCAGTCCCAGGAAAGCTTCAGGCACCAGACTCCAGCCCTCTCACCAAAGTTATAGGGGCTGGGTTGCTTAAGGCCTTGGGGATCCAACCTCCACCCTGTGTCAGAAGATACCACATGTAGCCAAAAAAGATTATTCTCTACCTTTAAAATATAATGTTGACTGGGCGCAGTGGCTCACACTTGTAATCCCAGCACTTTAGGAGGCTGAGGAGGGCAAATCACGAGGTCAGGAGTTTGAGACCAGCCTGGCCAACACAGTGAAACCCCATCTCTACTAAAAATACAAAAATTAGTTGGGTGTGGTGGCAGGCACCTCTAATACCAGCTAATTGGGAGGCTGAGGCAGAAGCATCGCTTGAACCCGGGAGGCGGATGTTGCAGTGAGCCGAGATTGTTCCACTGCACTCCAGCCTGGGTGACAAGCGAGACTCAAGCCCCCGGCACCCCCGGCAAAAAAGATGTAATGTTGGCTCTGCTGGGTTTCAGACTTTCTTGGGGGCCTATTTCTCCCTTCTGGAATAGGAATGTGTACACTATGCCTGTTCCCATCATTGTATCTTGGAAGCAGATAACTGGTTTTGATTTCACTAACTCACAGATGAGACTTTGATGCTGCAGTGAGTTAAGACTTTGGGATTATGGGGATGGAATGAATGTATGTGAGGACAGGAGTTTTGGGGGCCCAGGGGCAGAATGCTATGGTTTGTATGTCTCCTCCAGAAATTCATAGGTAAACTTTTAGTCCTCAACATGACAGTATTGAGAGCTGGGGCTTTTAAGAGATGACTGGCTCCTGAGGGCTCTGCCATTCATGGATGATGGGTTATCATGGGAAGGGAACTGGTGGCTTTACAGGAAGATGAAGAGAGACCTGAGCTGGCAGTGTTTGCATACTTGCCACCCCCCATGTGATACCCCGTGCTGCAGAGAGCCCCCACCAACTGGAAGACCATCACCAGATGTGGCCACTGGACCCTGGGCAAAATTTTCAGTGTCCGTAACTGTAAGAAATACATTCCTTTTCTTTATAAATTGCTCAGCTTCAGGTATTCTGTAATAAGCAACAGAAAATGGACTAAGACAACCACAACCTTTCAGTGTTGGAGGGAGTTGCAGAGATTATGTTAACTGACTTTTCACAGATGAGGAATTGGAAGGCCCAGACGGAGGTGGGCCATTGGAAGGTTCACCTCTGCCCATGGGGCAGAACAGAGATATGCACCCAGCAACACAAAGGACAGGGGAAAGGGTGGGAGATGCATGCACTGGACCCGGGATAGATTCAGGATCCCCTTGCTGGGGGAGGGTGGGCTGGCATGTTGGTTCTAACTCAGCCTTCTCAGTGCCACCTCCAGCCCCTGTGGTCCTTAAGGGACCCAAATCCTAGTCCTTTTCGTTGGTGGTGGAGGCATGTCCCGAGTATTAAGATCCCCCTCACAGATGCATGCCCCAGCCTCTTGGTATTATTAGCGGCTTCCTGGTTTCTCCCTGCCGCCTCCACACCTCAGGCAGGAAGTGACTTCAGAGTGGCAGGATGCAGGTGGCTCCGGCGAAACTTCATGAAGTCACTGGTTCCTACACAATGAGCAGGAAGGCAAGGGCAGGGAAGGGGACAACGAGGACTATTTCAGATGTCTGGTGGAAAGGGACAGGGGAATGGTACAGAATCCAAGATGTTATCCAGGAGGAAGAGCTCTCTTCCCTTGTCCTTAAGCCCCCCTCCACCCCCTCACCAGGCAAGAACCCAGGACACAGCAGGCAGCACAGAAAGGCTTCTTTATTCCATCCAATCTGCTAAATAGAAACCATGGTTCCTTCTTACATACTCTTCTACCTTCCCTTCTTCCTTCTTTAATTCTGCAATGGAGGCCACAGGTGGAGGGTTATTCCCTTAGGGATACCAGAGCAGCTTTCTCACTAGTCCCCAGGTGATAGCCACTAGTACTGACTTATCGTTTAAGTTCTACCCCGAAAATTCAAAAGTGCTTCTTACTTTCCACCCATGTCCCATAATCAAATAGGCCCCAGGGCAGCTAGGGGCAGAACTATAAATCCAGGCTTCAGGGCATCTTCTAACATTTCAGAGACTCCACCCATTCAAGAGACAATCCCATTCCTAACTTTCTACCTACCTGGCCTACACCAGAAACTGCACCCCTCAGCCAACCCCTTAATCCTACCTGATACTCGGTCAACTAGAACAGGCCTTTGGCCTATCAGCTAGTCAATCTTTTAAATCTGTAATGCCAACAATAATCTCAACCAAACTAAAGCAAACCCAGAATGGAACTCAGCCCCTTTTCTTTTCCTATGGAAGGTTCTAATGCATTCACTGGTTCCGGACAGGAATGCAGTGATGGGAAGACCAGGTCACAGACCCAGCTTTTCTAAGGTAAGGTTACAAAGCACCGTCACTTTCTGGAGGCAAAGAAGGTTCTGGCATCTGGACACTTGCCAGAAGATGTCCAAAACCCAGTAAAGGAAGAAGGGGTTCAACTCAGTAGAGAGAACCCCAATTAACATTCAAACCCAGATGCCTCCATAGTATAGGCTGGGTCAAGACTCTTTACCATCTAATCAAGGTAAAGAGTTTCATGATTCTTCCCTAGGTCATAACATTCATAGAGAGTGTACAGAGTCAGAAAAGGTCACATCATCTCTGATAAGGAATTTCTGATCCCTCCCCCATGGAGCGATCGACTCAGTGCTAAGAACAGGCCCCCTGTGGGAGGAAGACGGGCTCAACTTAAGCCCTGCTGGGCCTCTACCATTATAGATGGATACAGCAGCGCCAAACCCAAGTGCCCAGATTAATCGGACATTTTAGCTTCTGGACCAACTTGCAGAAAAAACTGCCGGCCCCTACCTGGAGTGATACGGAATCCCCCGCACCCACAGCCTCTAGGACGCATTTATTATTACCTCCATTTTAAGCTCAACATAATGGTTCCTATCACTCTTGAAGAACAGAGACATGTCTACATCCATTTCTAGCCTGCTAGAGAACCTACAACATCCAGAATACCAGAGAGGGTTCCTGACCCAATTCCACAATCCCACGTGCTCCCAGAGCTGCTGTAGAACAAATAAAGGTTCCAGACCTAGAATTAGAGGGGCAGGACACAGAGAACCCCTTTTTCCATTTTAAACAAACTAACAAGCAAACAAACAGGAGAAAGAACAATTCTAAAGATAAAAGTTATGAGGGAAATAATATAAAACACCCAAGCCAAAGGAGCAAGCCGAGGGCTAGTAATCTCTGCCAGCAGAGCTGTGACCTCATCTTGTGTTCCAGGTCACTTTTGATCACACTTGTGGAAGAGGGAAGTGGGAAATGGAATAGAATGAAGGTCCTGGTGCCACCCAAAGGCCTCAATAAATTATATTTACAGATAAACCGAATGCAGTGGGGGCCACAGGTGGGGGGCTATTCCCTTAGGGAGACCAGAACTCCAGTCTCTCCCCTCGCCCAGCCTCTAGCTAGCTCTCTCCTCAGGAACAATCTGGCTCGTGGGGAAGAGGTTTTGACCAGCAAAACAGAGGCAGATCTAGCCAGGATCTGCCACCCCTGCTCTCCCCAGCGAGAAATTCAGATGGTGGCAATTTCTGATACCAAAGTGGCTTTGCACACCCCCATGCCCAAGCCTGATAGGGAAGCAAGGCCTGAGCCTGCAGCTTTCCCCCGCCACAGGAAGCAAGTGGGGTCTGGACCTGTGCTCAGCTAGGGCCCCCCAAGAATGTGGTAATGCACTTTGGTGTTGGTAGCAGCTCCGTGTTTCTGGCGCAGATGCAGCCGCAGTTGACTCTTGTGCCGGAAATGCAGGCCACAGGGGTCGCACTGTGGGA